TGACAAACCAACAACTCCAAAAAGTAATTTCATTTGTGGCTGAAAATTGCCACAATAAAATATTTAAATTTCAATTCATGTCAGAAAAGTTGGCGTAAACGATGGACAATAACTTAATGTGTACTTTATTTAGAACTTTACAAGCGGCTGGTGGCGTAAAACATATATAAGAGAAAACCCAAAAATAAAAAATAAAAAATTGGCAAAAGGTAGATAACGAGGACCGATAAAATAAAAAACAAAATAGCAAATTAAACTTTCAACTTTCAAGTGAAATAAAAAAAATTGAAATAAATAATGTGACAAAGGTCAAATAAATCTTCAAACACTACAGAAGAGCTGTACAGTAGAGAGGGATATTTAGAGCATGGCAAAAAGAAAACCATAAATAAACGCCCATTATAACTAGAGGGAGGACAGATAAAAATATTACCCAATGAAAAAAGCGAAGCATTTTTTGAAGATGAAAGAGAAACTCGAAAGAAATACGAGCAGTAGCAGCAGTTACAAGTTTTAGGCAGCAAAAAAGAAAAATATTGCAATGCAGATAGATAAGTGAGCATTCCAAGGGTGTAATTGTAACTACTAAATATATTGGCCTAAGAGGGTAACCAGTAACGAAGAAAAAATGTAAGAAATCCCATAAGGAAACGCCAAAAGAAAGAAGGCGTGAAAGAACATTAAAAATATTACACATACGCATACGCCTCAAAATAAAAGTAGATAGAAAAGAAGAAGAGACAAACAAAAAGCATTTAAAAATAGGCGTAGCGCAACTTAAGAGCCTCAATGATTATCAATGTTTGCACCACAAGATGACTGTTTGTTAACCACAAGAGAGGCGATAATAACCAGAGTGGCAAATGTAGACAACTAAACGAAGTAAAAGACATAAGTCACGGTGAAGTATGCGGAAAAAAAACTATAAAAAGGAAAAAAAGAATTACAAAATAAGACCGCCTTCAAGTGAGTCAGTAAGACTTTGGCCTTACGCAAACGTGTGAAATTCGTACGCACCTGCCAGCCACCGCAATCAGCGCGCGGAAAATGTAAGACAATACTAGGCCGCAAAATGACAGTTATACGCCACAAAAGGGCGAGTAAAAACCGATAGCAATGTGAGAGGGAATGCTAAGATGGAACTAACAACGTTGCAAAGTACAAAAATAGCAAAGTAAACAAAACGTTAAAAGGCAGTAAAAGTTAAAATGAAAAGCGCATTGGGATAACAACCCACGCACACTCTGCATAATTGAAGTAATACGTGAGAATGAATATGACACTGATGAGACATACAAAACGCAATGACACGTAGCAAGTCGGATAGGTATTCTGTTGTGGAGTGCCTAATGCTAATTTTTTTTTTTTTTTTTTGATTAAGAGGATTAGTTTTAATACGAATATGTAAAATATACAATAGAATATAAAACTTAATAAGACTTAATGAAGTACAATAAAAATTAAACAAATTAAAATATAAAAGAAATGAGATATAAAATGAAATAACATAAAATGAAATAAAGTTGAATGAAAATATATAAAATATAATAAAATGAATTAAAATATAAAAAAATAAAAAAATTAAACTAAGATAAAAAATAGACAAGAAAAGTAAGTAAAAGAAGAAGAATAACATAAAATAAAATCAAATCAAATAAAAAAATAAAAAAAATAAAATAAAATAAAATAAAATAAAACAACAGAAAATAAAATGAAATGAAATAAAATAATAATAAAACGGAGCTTTTTCTAAAATTGTGTTTTGGCTTTCTACTAGCATCCCATCATCTTAACACAGCACTCTTGCCATTAAGAAACCAGTAGATTGTAAATGAGTGTGTGGGGCAAACTTTTTATACGCTTATTGCGTGATTATGCATGGAAGACTTAAGAAAACCACGCGCCTTGAAGGCCAAAGAACCACAGAGCAGAAAATGTGTAAAATAAGAAACAACCAACACTGAGAAAAATAAACAAACAGACAGTAAAAATGAACAGGTAATGAAGAGGAACAGCAGAAGATCCAAAGCCTGCATACAAATATAGATAAGGGTACTAAACAAGCATGACGTAGCAGAAAAAAATCACTAAAGTGTCCGGTATGCAGTGTTGCAGAACAAATCATCATCAAAAGTAAAAAGATGCTATCATCGCATGCCAGAATACGCACACTTGCTTACCGATACACATACATTTATTCGTCCATGTAGACGCGCACGAGTGTGTGTGCGTGAGCGATTTTTTTTTTGCTTTTCTGAAAACCGCTTGGCTGCTATTGAAGCGTAACGCACGTAAAGGGCGCTTATCAAATTAAGTGTGAAATAGAATAGAAGAGAGTGAGTGTAGAGCAGCGTGTGAGTTGCATAGTGGAATAACATGTAAGCATAAAAGCAGCAACAACAATAAAAATGCTGATGCAGCAGATGTTGATTTCCGAGTGCCAGCATTTCTGTTTTGCTTCTTCATTTTTAGACTACCGATATTACTCTTGCTGTTGTTGTTGTTTTACAAGTTTTGCTGCTCCTGATGTTGATCATATTTTTATTTTGCCGAGTTGCTGAGAAGTGTAAAAGAAAAATAGTGTTTACCTATGTGTTGGCAAGTGGAATAATTTACTTTTGCGAAATTGCTTACTCACCACCGGACAACGGTGCGTATGAGTTACCTAAGTGCAATATTTATTCGTATATGTACTTATTTGTACATCCACACTGGCGAATGTGTAAGTTTATATGAATGCCTGCATGTATGTTTTTGAGTTTACTTGTCGCTCTTTAAATTGAGACACTCGTGGGATTTTGCCCAGGCAAGTGATATATCGTTTGTGTAGGTCTGATTTATGTTCAACTCATTGAACTTAAATGCTCGTTACATTCAGATAGTGAAGTGTTTTGCATGTTTCTTGAACTTTTCTGAGATAAACAACTTGTAGTGTTTGGGTTGGAATTTTATAGTAGGGGTTGATTTGTGGTATCATTTGAAAATTTTACCTAATTAATTAGCTTCTCACTGTATGTAAAACTGTTTTGGGTAAAACAGAAAATAAGACCGGAATATTAAATAATAAAATACACATACGAGCATAATATCAGTGAGTAGCTTGAGTTGAAACATTTTAGGCAAAATTTATTTAAATAAAAAGAATACTCAGACACTACTGAATGAAGATTTATTATATCAAAAAACCCTCATTGTCTTGCAGGGACCGAAAGGGATGGAAAAATACGAGTCGTTGGGATTATGATTTTCATGCTGACAATTTTAGAGGCATTACTGAGTCCTTAATGCGTAAATTTATTTCTGGCTGCATCCTGAATACAGCCTGTTTCGGCATCAACATCCAGTTTGTCGTTGTTGATATTATAAAATTTTACTACCCTATACACTTCAGTTTCCATCAATGACATGCAATTTTTCAGATATTCTTATACCAAATTAAAATTTTTGTATTTTTTGTGAAGGAGTAAGCCGAGTAGGCCGAGACAAAGACCATAAGACGATAAAGGTAACAAATCGGTCCTAGAAATCAAGCAAATAAATATTAAATGAAAAAAACGCTTAATGTCTCAAGTTCCAGATTTTGTTTTCTTAATGATTTCTAAAAATATCCAAAATATTTAAGAAATAAAAGAAAACCTCTACACCTTATCTATTGAATGGATAAATAGACTACTTTAAACTATGTTTTGGGGCATTATAGTAGCTTCGTAGTGAAAACATGATCACTTTGGCTTATGGGATTCCTCAAAGAAGAGGTTATGCTAAAAACTTATATTTTTTCTACAATTTGCAATAAGGGTATTGCTGCGAGATTTTATTCCCAGAACTCGAACACACAGCAAATTTTTAGTAAAAGCAAAAAAAAAAATAACTAAGAGGCAATTATATAAAAGAAATAAAAAATGAATAGAAAAGTGTTGAAATGCAAATATTTATGAGGAAAGTTTGCGATCTGTTCAAGAGTGTAAATTTAACAAAAGGTGCAAATAAAGTAAACTAGAATTCTTTGATTTCCATGTATCTAAGTACCTAAAAGTTATTGCAATTATTAAAGGTGTTGCATTGAATAATTTTTTTTTTTCAACTTTTCTATTTCGTAAATTTGTAAGAAAATATTAAAACATTAAAAAAAATAAATAGGAAAATATTAAAAAATACTGCTAATTTTATTTAGCTGATGAAGAATTATTAAAATAAAGTTAATTAAATTTTCAGACTATTTTGCTACTTAATAAGACAAGAAAGGAGTTTTTAGCGACTTGTCTTCCTTCTTTCTAGTTAATGACCGAAGCATTGCTGACTTTTTTTATAGACACATACATATATAGACGTGTTTCATTTTATTTTCCTCTAAGTTGAGGTGAAAAACAATATTTATTCACATGTACCGCAGACTGTAAGAGCTCGGGATACTCGAGCATCGAATTATGTAATCAATTCGACACTCTTCCGGTGTTCCTTCGTGGATCAACTGATCGAATATTTGTTTGAAATTTGCTAAGGAAAGGTTAAATTTTACGAGCTCGTCGACGAAGATTTTCAATAAGTGATAAGGGATGAACTAGTGACCGAGTATTAGCTGCTCAAATGCATTTGGAAAATTACCGATCTCAGAGCCAAATGTATTTTTTGGAGGTTGATAATTGAGTTGTCATCTACAGTACCATTGCATATTTTTACATGCATGTTTTATAGTGTAAAAATTTGGCCGTAAATTGATATACATACACTGGTTGATTTATAAATATAAATAATTTCTATGATAAAAAAAATTTTTTTAGCTTCGTAATTGTGAATGACGACTTATGTGTTTCAATTATATTTTTATGTTATTTTCACTTCTTCAACTGACATACACACTTTACGTTAAACACACGTTCAAGATTCGCACATACACCTACTACGCCCTCACTGATTCATAAAATAACACCACAACATATACATATGTACATTTCCTTAAGTTTAAATGAATGTTAACATATTGCAATTTTCGTACTTACCCTATCACCTTTCTCGCCCGTCATTCCCGGATCACCACGTTCACCTTTCTGACCCTGCTGACCGCGTTCGCCTGTCGCGCCAGTATCACCTTTATCGCCAGGTGGACCCTTGGGTCCTGGAGACGAGCTGCGCATCGCACGCATCGAATTGCCCATTAAGGATTCCTGTGTGTGTGTGTGGGTATGTTTGTATATTTTATTTATTTTTTTTGTATGCGTGGGTTGGAGTCAGCGCAAGTGTGTGAGTGGTGTATGTATGTTGTAAGGTAGAAAAATGAGAAAAAATATATTAGTAAAATTAAGTCAGACAACAGGTGCGAAAGTATTTAGTTTGCTTACAAAAATATTTTTCCTTAGTTACCTATGCAGCTTACGTACAATAACAACTTTTTGTGTATATGAAAAAAAAGCAATCCTTTGCCTGGCTACAAGCTAATTTTTCTTTGTTTATGCAGACATATATATAATACATGAAAATTCCTACATCACTCGTCTGCCTATTTGATGCTTTGCTCATGTACTTATCTCTTTGGCATTTGCTGCTGTTATTAGTAGCTTTTGATTTGTAAGAATTTCTAGTTTATTTTTTTTTTTTTTTGTTATTTCATTTGGTATCCTTTGTCTGCTCTGATCCTTTGTAGCTACATATGTGATAAGCACTTTTTGATTAATGATACTACATTTAGAGTGAAATCTCATTTTACTGTAAAGGCACGTTTCGCATATATACATATGTACGTGCACGTTTCTCTAGCTGTGGTTCTTGCTGTTGTTGTAGTTGCTGCGTTATCGGTTTAGCAGCCTGTCGGCGCTAATGTATTTAACCCTTATTTTATCATTTGCTCGCCTGCCAAGGGTACAAACTACACTGCAATAAACTCTACACATATGAAATAAACTCTACACATATACACGCATATTATGTTTTATGTGTATGTAAATGTGTGTGATGTAACCTCGTTGGCGTGCTACAAAGATTTTAGTTGCGCTTGTCGACAAGGGAATGCCGCTTAATTTTAAGCCATAAAGCTGCTGCGGATATTCGAGTACATATACATATATGTCGGTATGTATGTCGGCATACATGTTTGGCATTCTGTTGTGGGATTTCTGTATTTTTTGATATTTTAGTTTTGGTTTCTCATTTTTGTGTTTTTTTTTTTTTTAATTTTTTTGTCAGGTAATCTGGTGTTTTTTATGTTTTCATTCCCAGTGGAAATTTGTCCTAAGCCCATCAAAAACTTAAGCTTTTATTGTTTGTTCGGCTCAAGTGTCGACTTTTCGTGTTTGCCCATTTAGTAGTTTGATTTCCTAATTCTAGTGGACATTAACGAGCCTGTGATTGTGTGTGTGTAAGGCATTATCCAGACAGTGAAAGGCTATTATATCAGCAGTGGGAGGATGGGAAAGTAATTCTATTTTCGGAAGATGGCAATTGAAGAGATAAATAGAACCCAAAAATTTAGAATATTATTTCAGCTCAAGTAATTTTAGCCGACACAATTTTGTTGTATTAACATCTGTTTATCTATATACCAATATTTTCAAATCGGATTCTTCTGTCATTGTGAAAACTCTTTATAGTAGTTACTTTTTACTAATAAAAATAATAACTACAAAATATTGAAGTTGAAGTAAAAAAAACATCGTTTACTGTTAATCAAAATGATGAAATATATACCATTTGGTACAGCGCTACACTATATGGTTGGATGAATAACAACGTTCTTACTTGAAGGATTTTCCTCTCGGCATTTTCCTAGATATAAGGTGACCTTTTTTCAACATTTTTCCGAAATCAGTATTAAGAGGTAACTAAAAAGCGGTTATAATAGACGAAGTGGTTAGAAGTGCATGCTGTCATTCTTAAAAACTGGGTTCGAGTTCTAGTCCGACCAACATCAAAAAACTAAGAAAATTAATTTTTCTAAATACGTTCGCTACTCACTAAAAAATGTCAGATCGGATAGATTTCTGATACGAAGTAAAAGTTTCTTTTATTCGTTCGGAGGTGGCTTACTGTAAACTGTAGATCTCTCCATTTGTTGGAAAAACATTTAGAGAAATGCCACAAATTGTTGGAGAAGTTGGGCGAATATCTTTTTAGCAGTTACAAAGCAACATTTATACTACATCTGTAAAAGCTGTGAAGTCTAGAGAAAGAGGATCATCTTTGTTAAGGTGAGCAAGGCCTATATTACCAGACGCACTACTACAGATACTCCTCAAGGTGGGGCTACTTAGTGACGAGTACTGAAACTATGATGGTTTAACAAACGTAAGGGCAGACGACGATTTAAACCATTGACCGATTAGTTCAAAATGGTAGCCAGTTTTACTGAGATATAGTTTCATATTGATGTAATTAGGACTTTTAATACTTTTCATACTCAAAAAAAAAAATATATAAAAAAATCCAAGGACCCACTTAAGGCTTTCAAATGTGTGATTCCATCTACGTGCGACCATGAAGGCCTTAATTTCATACAACACGAAGTCCGTTGGAGTCGCAATATGTTAAGGAGTAAGTACTCTGAGTAAGAGTCTCTGAAAACGGAATAGTGTGCATTTACTGGGTGCAAGACCATAAGAGCTTTTAAAGGGTTACATAGGTCTTGGAACTTCAAAAAATATTTCCCCTAAGTTTCAAGTCGATCGAGACGAATCTGTAGAAATTAGTGAGTTTTATAACCCGCCGTCTTTGTCATGGCTTGATCGATGGCGAAACTTTAAACGCATTTTGCTTAACAACACTTTATCGAAATCGGTAGTCAAAATTTCTCCACGACCACTGAAGCTATCAAGTTCAAATTTTATTTTTGTACTATTTTTCATTCAAATTTTCATCAAGTCCACATATTTTACTTTTACTTGTAGACAAAATATAGTGTATACTTTATTTAGAGCTTTTAAAAAAATTAGAGAAAATAAACTTTGTTGGTCTTTAAGTTTTATGTAACCCCTTAAAGTAACGAGATAGCTTGCGAACTGGCTAAGGAGGGCCTATTTATAACAGGATGCTGTAATGAACTTTCCAGATCCATTCAGGGAAGCGAAGCTAAATCAAGGCGAAAGGCCTATCGCTGCAAACTCTGCAGAATCACGGAAGCTATGTATTAATGGTATGTTATTAAATAAGCAAAAGTTGTTCTATCTGTAGAGGCCGGACTCCAGGTCATTGCCTTTTGTCGTCGCGTGCTTTAAATATTATTTAAATATTATTTAAATATATATCAAGACCAGAAATTTTTGGGAAATTATAATTTTTTTTTGGATATTCGCAGTTTGGTAAATCATAAATTTATTCCAACGGGACAGACGGTCAATAAAGAGTATTATTTCAGCGTTTTGAGGCATTGTGTTAAAGCATTCGTCACAAATGGCTATAATTGTGAGCCAAAAATTTCCGGAAACTTTTTTCTTGAGACCAAAAGCTCGTTCAATACCACATCGATCAGCCAACGTATTCACCGGGCTTGGTCCCATGTGAATTTTTTGCTTCCAAAACTCAAGTTAATACTCCGTGGAACCCCTTTCGACACGATTGATACCGTGAAAGAAAATTCGCAGAGGGAAATGAGGTTGACTGATTTCAATAGCTGCTGCAAAAAAATTGGTTTTACAAATCGAGCTCATTTTTGGCATGGTAATCAAGAACTGTGCTACTAACTTTATAAAAAAAATACCGAAAAATATTCAGCGCAAGTAGTTTAAATGATTATTTCCGGACGCTTTCTGGTTTTAATATAGGTCTGACTGGGGAAATGTAAGGCATGTGTGGGGTTACCAAATAAACTAAATATTTTCCAATTGGCAATGGCGAAAAAAGCTATAACGAAGACAATGTTCCTCCAACTAGAGGCATATTAGTAGTGCAGCAGCGCAGTTTGGTCGCATATAGTGTGTCTAGCAACATTATGGATGTATCATCGTCTATGTGAGACCTGCTGTGGTGTCCACAGTAAGTACAAGTTTTTAGTGATTTAAGTCAAAACGCCCTATAACTTAAAAAAACAGTGCAAGTTCAATGACCTTTTGTTTACTCACAAAAAAATTCAGGCTTTTTCCATAGCATGGAGTTTATTCTAACTATCGAAATCAAACATCTCTCAATACCCTTCGATAGCAACCCTTCGATAGCAACTTAAGTTGGAATTGAAACACGACAGAGAGACACAGGAAACTGCTTTTGAGGGTAATAAATAGTGACCGTTGCAAAGTTAGGAGATCTGAGAATGAAAAAGTGTACACTTTATTTATACAGTGGTAGATTGACTCTTCCTATTCTCTGCCCTACTAGCGACTCTCGCAAAATCCCAGCAAACTTTTCTCTCTAAACTTAACTGAAGTCAACATATCTAGCAACAGAAATTTTTTTTTTAAAATGCTCCATTTTTCCTAAATGCCAGGCTAATTATAAAAAAGATAAGAAAAATTCAATTTTCATATCCACCAGTAAGTGCGAAAGACAGAAAACAAAAAAATATTCGCAAATACATTCATTTGTTTTAAACCTCAATAATGACTTGGTAAATGGCAGATCAAATGTGCGCAATCACGATGCAACAGACAGGGTTAATTTGCTTTGCCAACGACCGCAATATAGCAGTGGAGGAAGTACAAGAAAAAATATAAAACCACCACAAACAACACAACTACACACACACACACAAATAAACTTGTCGCAATGTCTATATATATATATATATATATATATATATATTTGTGTGTTTGGGTATGTAAAAAGTATTTTTAAAAATTTTTTCTTTGTTTTACTTTTGTTGTTTTTTATTTTAATTTTCTCCTCTCCCTCTTTTCCCCCGACAAATTTCCTTGTTTGTATGTGCGTACATTGTAGAGTGGAGCGCGCGCATATGCAAAAATAATAATAATAATGATATTGCATGCTGTTACGAGCTGTAACAGCAGCAGCAACAAATTTTACAATAGCAACAACCACAGCGACGACGACGACGACGACTACAATGGTATTATTAATAATAACAGTTGCAAAAATATTTAACTGCAGCTAGCAATCTTGCTTCCTGCCACACAACGTCACTTCATTGCTTTTTGCACTAGCACACACAAATCTATATACAAACACATATGCATATTTTTGTTACATACAAACTGCTGGTCGTGCTTGCATTTGCCTGCACATA